ACTCATTTGATTGACTGAAAACGTTGTTTTCTACAACACGTTTTGTGCAAACTCAAGTGGCTAGCAGTGCACTGTCTTTTCTTTTCTAGAAGTAAGAAAAAGACATAAAAAAAGATATTTTAAAATCTGAATCTCTAAATAATTAATAAGCAATGTTTCGCGAGATTTCCGTATATCATCTTCATTATCTCCAAAATAACTCTAAACTTGCAATATTGGAATATTACATCGTAGCTCAAAGAAATGTATTAAAATGTATACAATCGTAATCTGTGCGAGATAAAATTTATATATATTGTATTTTCAGTTCAATGAAATATATATTAAATTTTCAGTGCTACTATACATGATTATTGGAGTAAATATTTAAGAAAGTTATTTCATATTTTGTACGAATAATGAGATAATAATGATTTTATAATAAATTTATGGCGAATTATTATGATAATTTGTGTTGCAAATTTGAAAGGATCATACACAGGAAAAAATAAAAATTTCAGTTTTTATCTTGAAATCCATTCTTATGAAGCGCTATTCACTTTCTAGAGCAAAGCACTCACTACGAAAGAAAAGACTTTAATTAAATTAATTTTAATTTTATAAGATAATTAATTTTGAATTTTAATAAAAATACCTGAATCACTATAGTCTCTTACTTTAGAACAGGCATTTCAGGGTTAGTTCCCTCCTTGATAATTCCGACTTGGGTTGTAACCATAGCAACGATAGCTGCGATAAATGTCTGGGTCCTAATTCTGATGTTTGTTGCTGACCACACGGAAAATGAAGATCCAAAGGACTTGGAGCTCCTACTTTAAAAGAAACATATTATAGAAAGCCTTTAGTTCAGAAATATGTCCAGAAATCTGAACGCTCACTTAAGCCCCCCCCCAAAAAAAACCCTTATTAAAACACTAGAATTACAGAAGGGGTCATTTTGACACCTATCGAACTTTTATCTCTGACAGCTCTTCTTTTTTTTCGCAAATATCTAAATCTTTTCTCGACTTTTCCTAAATCATTGTGATTTACGAAATAGTAAAAATTTCAAGAAAATTGTATTTTTATTTTAGGCCTAACAAATGATTATACCTAGAAATACGGCAGGTGTCATTTTGATCCCTTTGAGAGAAATACATTCCATTGTATTATCTGAAAACTGTTACTTCTGTAAACTATTTTTATTTGCACCTGCTAAACAAAATACAAACAATAGAAAAGAATATGGTGGGTCTGCGTAGTTTCACATCTGCCAGTCACATGAATATGTGCAATACTTTTCTTTGTGGAAAGAAAACAGGGAAAAGAGATTATTATGAGCTGAACTTTGATCTGAACGTTTGTAGATTTTTTGTAGATATTTTGTTTATTATTAATAACAAGTTTTAGTGGAAAACTTTATTCTATTTACATGAATTTGTTATAGTGGCGTACTAATGGTGCGTAGAAAAGGATTAACGTATGAAGAAATCGTGAAACTGATGCAAGAACTATCTGATACCGATTCCGGTTTTGAAATCGAAAATAATTCTACAGAATAAAGATGGAGATGAAACATCTTGTGATTCTTAATTTTATTATAGAGAAGCAATATCATCCTCTAGCTCAAGTGAAAGTACAAATGGATTTGTTTCTACGAGTTCAAATTTCTTCTGTACCTAAGAATGCCAAAGCGGGAACTAGTAGACGCTCAAAAGGGAATGTGAAATTAACATAATTCAGACTAACACTTGTAAAGAAATTGCTAGTGATGGAACTGTATGGAAAGTAGAAAATACTTCAAATAATTCTGGTAGGCGACCCTTGCAAAATATCTTGAGAGAAAATGCAGGACTGACATCCTATGCTAGACGTCACATTTGTTCTGCTTAGTGCGATGAAACATTTTATGCGTCATAAAGGAGTGTACTGATACTGAAGCCAAGCGTAAACTTCATAATGACTCTTTCACTATTTTATTAACAGAACTGGAAGCATTCATAGCGTTGTTGTACGTAAGGGGGGGGGCATTAGCCGCCAAGAGCTTACCAATTCTTAGTTTGTGGTCCAAGACTTGGGGGACCAAAGTTTTTTCATGAAACTATGAGTAGGGATAGGTTTCTGGAAATTATGAAATTTCTTTGTTTTGATAATAAACTAACAAGGTCTTCACGTTTGCAGTGTGATACATTTGCACTAATATCCGAGGTATGGAATACTTTTATAGAAAATTGTTAGCTTTGCTACAAACCAAATGAAAACATTATGATTGATGAACAGTGAACAGTTATTCCCTACAAAAACAAGATGCCGTTTTTTGCAGTATATGCCTAACAAGCCGGATAAATTCGGAATAAAATTTTGGCTAGCAGTAGACGTTAGGGCAAAATATTTATTAAACGATTTCCATATTTAGGAAAAGATGAAATGAGACCAAGTGATCAAAGTTTAGGAGAGAACGTAGTAAATCGTTTAGTTTATCCTTACAAAAATATTGGCTGAAATATAACTACAGACAGTTTCTTAACATCAGTAAAGCTTACGAAATCCCTTAAATCAAAAAGAGTGAGTCATGTTGGAACAGTAATCGCGCAAAAAGAGAAATTCCTCTATTAAAAAATGTAAGAAAGAATTTTTTCTTCAGTTGTGATAAAATACGACTATATACACTTATATTATCAAGGTAAAAACAAAAAATATAATTTTGCTAGTACACTCCATTCATCAGTTGAATTGAATCTAATGAAAGAAGGTTCCTGATATAATACAGTTCACAATTCTACAAATTCAGGGTAGATGTTTTGGATCAAATGGCAAGAAAGTACTCCGTGAAAGCACCATCACGCCATTGGCCAGTACATGTATTCTACAATATTTTGGACTTATTATTAGCAGGAATAAATGCGTGGATTCTGTATAAGGAAGTTACAAAAGAAAATATCGGCAGAAGGGATTTTCTATTGCATTTGGCAAACTAAGAGAAGAATATATATCTAGTAAAAACAATTTTGTTCTCTCTTCAAGTGGCTTTGTGGATGGAAAAAAAAGGGGAGAAGAAATGTCAAGTAAGGAAATGCAAAGGTAACAAAACTTCTAATATTTGCGACAACTGTAATAAATATGTATGCTGATATTGTACACAAAAAATCAGAAAGATAAGCCTGTATGCTAATTGCTGCGCTGACTAATATATTATCTGTAATAAAATATTACTATATTTCTATGTATCTTATACAAAAGTTATTTTAAAATACTTTATATTTAGATTAAAAACCACTTTTTTGGAAAAATTTGCGTAAATATTTATACATTTTATTTTCTGTGTTTCTCAAATGTAAGCTATCGAAAATGGGGGGGGAGTTACATTTTTCGCTGGAATATTTAAATGCTTGTTCATTATTTGACTACATGCCTGTAAAGTCTCTATATTCTTTAAAATAAACTGTAGTTATCATAATTTGCATTATTTTAATTTCTTTTTCACAAATATATTATATCATATAGAGAAATATGCCAACATCTTATCAAGGGGTCAAAATGACACCCACCGTATTTCTAGGTATAAGCGATAAGCAACGGAGGACGTGGGCACTGTCCCTTTACCAAAAGGTTAATCGGTGTAGCACCACGTCCACCTATATCTAGAGCCCAAAGAGGAATCACAAGACGCCACGCACCGGGCGCCCAAACCCACAGCCAAATTCAACCCGGGGGCAGTCCAACAGACCAAATGCCCACGAAAGACAGTCCCAACAACCGTAATTCTAGGTATACGAAGACCACCGTAATTCTAGTGTTAAACTACACAGTAACATGCGAAACAAAATAATTGACTGAATGTACTAAAAAACCGCTGGCATGAAAAAATGTCGCTCATTAGGGATTATCGTCCAAATTCCGTTATTAGGAATATAAGAATTTCTTTTATAAAAATACTTGGTTGCTTTTTACCTTGAATGCTGAAAAGGATTGAAATAGAATCAAATAATTTGATTATTAGAAAATCTTTATTCGATGTTTTTATTAAAACAGAGAGATCAAACTAAAAATAATTACAAATATTCATATTCTCATTTTTTATTCATTAATGGGGTATTCATAGATGATCTCAAAAATATATTTGGTTGCTTGTTATTTCGTGTTTCAAGAATACCTTTTACATTTCTGTCTTTCAAGTATCTGTGCGTGTGAATGATCATTAAAAAGTTAATCAAAATCATATCATATACAAATGCAGTAATTTTGCGTTTAAAATTAGGGAAAAAGGGAATGTTAGTTTGGTGTAGATTTTGAATAATACTGTATCGATCTCGAAAGCGATCAAACACAAGTCCCTCTTCTAAAGGAACAAAAAAAATTGCCTGTTGAATTTCACATCTCCTACAGATATAACCCATTCTAATTTTACTGGAAAGTTTTTAGTTATTTTGACTAAACCAAAACTGAGTTTTAGAGGAATGGGACAGCGTAACTGCTCTGAGATGAAGAACTAGAATAATTTATGCATTATGCATTAAAGTTTCATATAATGATATTAATCATATATAATTAAGTACATTAAAAATTTCTTGAACCAAAAAAATGTTATTTTTTATTAAATATGCTTTTAGTTCGACTCTGAAAATTTTCTTAAAGCTACACGCTTTAAGAAAAAATAGGATTATTATTATTCTCAACTTTAAATTAATCTTCTGTTACCTTTCAACCAGAACGTGCATTTTATTAAAATCATTCATGTGAAGAGACGAATTACAATAGAAAAAACATACAAAAAATGACTGAAAATGAATATTCATTAATTTCGGAGCAAAATCATTTCATTCTTTTACACTTTTCACATTTTTAAATAAATTCACTTTTTTTTCTCTATAAAACCAATTGTTGTTGAGAAATGGGCAAAAAGTCTTTTCTCTTCGCATTACTTTAACAAAATGTTTTTTTTTTTATCAAAGAAGAAAAGAATATTTTTCATCATTGTTATTCTGGAAAAAATAAAAGTATTGTTATCTTTTCCTTCTCAGCACCACTTTCTGTACAAGTGATTCCCAAATTCCAGAGTATTGATGTAGGAAAATCCACAACCTTCAACTGCTCTTTTTCTGGCCATCCAGTGGTCACGATCGAATGGATGAAGGATGGAATGCCCTTGCGGGCCGGATCTCGAGTGGAGTTTCCTTCGCGGGATATTCTTTATCTGACCTCTGTCCAGAGAGATGATAAAGGAATGTTCCAGTGCTTCGTGTCCAATGATTTCGATTCCGCCCAAGGCACAGCGCAACTGACGTTAGGAGGTAAGGTCTACAGATTTATGTCCATTTATGTTTATTACATCTTGTTTTAGCTTCGCTATCTTCCGTACATGATGAATAAAAAAGGGAATTAAGGATTACAGTAGTAAAGAAAATTAAGGATATGGAATGTAAAGGATGTGCGCAGTGTTTTCATGAATGTATCCGGGTAAATATCTTTTGCAAGACCGTCCGTAACGTCATGATCTTACTCTAACAAAAGTAACACCCCGAAGAACAAGTATTAAATATATTGAAACAAGAAGAACGCGCTTACGTTTTGTAAATTTTCAAGAAAAAGGATATTTATATTTACCAAATTTTTCTATTAATTTACCTCCTGCATTGCATATAATTAAGTAACTCCAGCAAATATACTTGGTTCAGCCCTTGCACATTATTATCCCCCTCAGCCAGTCCAGCTGTAGTACTTTTCTTCAATACTCAATTCACCTACCAAGCTTCTTTAGTCCCTTTACAGCTCCTGTCCTCCTCACCTGGACTTCTGCTGCCCAGTTTATTCCGGATGATCGGATTTTCTCTGAACATGGAACTGATGTTCTTAACTGATGTTTCTCTGAACACGGAACTGAAGCCCCTTGTTGACAGACCTTTTACCCACAACTTCATCATCTTCGACTGATCCCTGCAACTTCTGAAATGCTTATCTACAACACTTCTAAACTGCTTATCTCTCAATGAATGAACACCCTATTAATGCTTGCCAATATTCGAAAAGTGACGCCGTTGTTCGATAGACATAGGGCATTTCAGCCCAGGCTACCTTAAAGCTAAACGTTTGTTCAGGGACAGCTGAAATTTTTAAAAAAAGGTATTTCCTATTATCAGATCAGCCGCAGAAACTTTAAAAAAATTGCACCATACAACTAAAATTTCTGGATATGTTACCATTATAGACAGAAATAAATTTTAAGTTTTTGAAATTTTGAAAATTATCTTACGTAAAAAAACGAAGTAAAATAAAACTTTAAATTAGAAGCATTTTTCTCGATTTCGCATTTTCCGAAATGGTAAAATTTTGTACTTAAAAGAAATTTAATTTTATAGAGCTCCTGAATCTTTCTTTCCTTTCCTTGAAAGTGGTTTAAGTCACAGAATTTTGACATCTTTTAGACGCCGTTCACATGCAACGCTCCTTCGCACAGCTGCCGTTAGCAAGAGGAGAAAAAGGAGACATGAAAGAGTTTCGTCTTCAGGACCCGTTCAGAAGACCAGCGTCTTCCTTCCCTTTACACCTAAGCCTCTGTGAACAATCACGTCTCCGAACTGGAGATTTCTAATCTGTTTACATATTTAACGTGTTTACTGTTGTTAATTTTGTAATCTGTACTTTCGCAACTGGTACCTGAACTTTCCTAATAGTTCTTGAAAAATACATGCTTTTTAATTATCATTATTATTATTTTATAAGCTGTTATTTAGTTTACTCTTTGGTGCTTGTCGCTACGGTTAAAAGATGGTTATGGATTTTTCCTGATAAGATATAGAACTGGTTTTCGCTACCGGTCGAATCTGCTCTTGCGAACGGGGCTTAGATGCTATTGCATGCTGCGTAATGGATTTTGAAATATGTTTCATTAAAGGGCAGTTTAAAAATATTAATTTTTTCATGTTTTCACGTATGACAAGACTAACATTTGCTCAGTCTGAAAACCTTTACTATTCGATTAATTTTTTTTTAACTCAGAGCCGAGACTGAACACTAGTCAACTGCAACAAGAAATATTTAATCTTTCAAACATTTTAAAACATCTCGTACATTAAACATCTTTCATATCGAGCGTCCTTTACGTTTTAATATTATACAGAAGTATAATTTTGCCTTGATATTTGTTACTCAGTCACATGGAAATTATGCGACTAGTGGACTCGGACGTTTTTTCATGAAGGTGGACGATATATGTGAATTGAATACAGATAATCGAGCATCTCGATTTTCAGCTTCGATTTTGGAAGATAAGTACTACTAACAATATCCATGAGTTTAAAAAAAGTAAATGCCATCGTTTTCTTATTTTTTTTTTTAAATTTCATTAAGGAACATTTATATGATGACATAAGCATCACAAATGTTAGTCATAAGGTGTAAAATTAATTAACCTCTTTCACAGTTTTTGAAAACGTTTTAAGCTGTAATCAATCAGTTTACGTAAATCTGCGCATGCGTGAATGTATCTACAAATCTTGAGCTTGCTTTCTTCGATATGATTGATAGGTTCTTATGACAACTTGGCATCGCTTTGAAAACTTAAAGATTTAAGCAAAATCCTTATAGCAAGTTCTAGTTGCCTAGGAACAAAGTTCTGATTATGCTAGTTATGATCGTTAAACCGTCAAATAAATATCCTTTTAAGTTCTTCTTAGATTGAAGCAGATAAAGTCACATGACGCGACGCTCCTACAGATGTAAAAAGGGAATATCTGAGTTATCGTTTATAGCAATCATCTCGAATTATAAAAACGCTGAACGCTTTTCCCGCTACTATCTGATTTATGATCTGACATAATTACACTTTTTTATACTCATCTGAAAATATTGTATGAAGTCCAACTGAGGCACGTAGCAATAGATGATATTTAATAAAATTTCAGTATTACTTATATCTCAGAATAATTGACTTACTATTGTCTTCAGGATTAGGACCGATGTATTCACCAGAAATGGTGAATAGGTTTGACTTGCGTAAGAGGTATTTCAATGCTTACGCATTTGTTTTCTGCTAAGTGAATCAATATATTGGATGATAGAATTCCCCCAGGGAATAAAATTTACCCCAAAGACAGAAGCATATGTTATGAAAATCTCTACCTAACGTATCTTGCCTACATATGTTAATTCTCATACCAGACATTTTTTGTCTGATAGTTCTGCTATATGTATGCTAATCGTTTAACAGAAGGTTATCTAAAGTGGTGCTATTTGCGGTTAGATAATAGCTGATAACCATTTTACGATATTTATATACGGAGGATATACGATATTTATCCGGATATTGCAGATAATGCAACTACTAATATTGTACTATATGTAATTATAAAATATCTGAGTGTACATTCGTTGACAGCACACTGCATCTGTTAATGCTTATATTGTTCAGGGCGACGTTTCTGAATATGAGCACAACTGTGATATTTCTTCTATAAACAATCGGGTAAGCTCATATGCCGTCATGTATGTCTAACTGATATTAGACAGGCAAACTAAATTTACTGCAATTAAATTTAATTTAATTGCTAGAAAAAATAAAATAATTAAAATACTTGATAAATTACTATTTACAAGCTAAATAATTTGACTCTAAAGTTTGAAAATCTGATTAAGAAAGAGAAAAATCGTTTTCCCTACGAAAACCTTTAGCAAATTTTAAATCAGGAATAAGAATATAAATTTGTGGTTGAAAGAACAAAATAAACATTTAGAATAACAAGAGTATTATACATAACCGCAGTTAGTAGCAGTGCTTGAACTGGAAAAATTTAACAAGATCCTTCCTGAGCATTTTGGTATCTCGATCATTAAACTTTTCTGCATTTTAGTCTAGAAAAAAATTATTTCATTCCAAAAACCTAACAAGATGAGCTATTTTTCGTTGTTTGTTCTCAGTTTCGTGACTAGTATTTGTCAAACATCCTCGCTAAATTCTGCTTGCTAAAATTATATACATATATATGTTTATAAAAGCACTTTTACGTCACTTTAAAATGTTATATTTTGCAAGTTATTATAACTGAATATATTATGTTGGAAATGGTAAACTCACTAAATTTCCAAGTAATATTTTTGACTTTTTTCAGAAACTCAAGCTAGTGTTACATAGAAATTTCTTTCGGTATAAAATTATTTCCTACTTTTTCTAACAAAAAGGATACCGCGAAATAAATTGATACTCATTTAGAAGAACTTAACTGCTATATATGTCTCAAAGTTTGCGAAATATTTTGTGAAAGTAACATTAAGAAAATATAGGATTTTTCTGTATGTGAGTAATAATAATTGTTAGAAACACTTACTCTTTTTAAACTATTAAATTTCAGAATTCATTTATTAAAAACATGAATAAGCTTCATTTATATCAATACACACATTTTCTAGCACTTATAAAATTAGATTTAATAAATTTATTAAATTATATTTAATAATTTTATTATTTGCAAATATAAAAAGACATTTGTATAATATATCTGATATTTATTAAGTGTAACCTAATAAATATCAGATCTACTCAGAGATTTTCTCCCGTTCATTTACTATTTTTATCTCTTGAAAATCGTCAGAATAAAATTGCTCGGTACGCATTCTTTATCAGGAGAAGATTGAAAAAGAAGATTTACTGTATTTCGTATCTTAAAGAAGTTGAGTGACTATTAATTTTACTTTTACAGTGACTTTGTTACAGATCTATACCATGCTACCTTGAATCATTAATTCCAAATTCATATGCTAAAATAACCAGAGGGAAAAGTATATGATAAAAGAAATATGTGACTAAATTCTTACTGAATCTCTTTACTTAGTGACCTTAATATCAATTGACTAGAGTTTCTATTTGACTAAAACACACAAGTTTTTGAGTATTTAAAGTTAAAAAAATAATGTATTTTTTCCTTTGTTGTTTGTTTTAAAAAATGCTGGTATTTTTACTTTTTCTGTTTTCTGTTTTGTTTTCTTGTTGGTTTATCAAGATGGTTTAATGAGGTTTCTTTGCGTCGTTCTTTCCATATGCATATGCGAGTCCTTTTTCCTTTAAAAAGTGTTCTATGAAGATGTCTTTTATTTTAGAAAGACAGATGCGGTTCGTAAATAATTGATTCAATCTAATTCACTTATATCGAGTTTCCGCTTTTTATTAGTCTTTTTATAAAATAACTAATGTAAGAAAAAAACCACTCAAAATTTGTTAAAATCAAATCAACGATTATTTGATAAAAAAACAGTAATTTTAGCATTATATAAAAATTAAATATCGAATGAAATATATAAC